TTAGATAATTAAGTGTTCCACGTGCACTAAAAAGTGCGCCACCCCCCCCCCTCCTGAGCACCTGCCCCCCAAAATGTCTGTGCACGCCTCTGCCGATAGACCTAGTACTATAAAAGCTCCTCAATGTATAAACAAGTTAAATATACCTATTAGAAATGATTGTTTGAACGAGTAGTAAGCAATATTGTTTTTATAAAAAGCCTAGGGTAAAGCAAAGAAAGGCCAGTGAGAGATAAAAACTGATTACACAGAGTTAATTACTAAAGTATGTGTATAAGGAATATGGCTCCATGTTTCGATTAAGCTCAGATCAGTTGTTTGCACAGTAAGTGACACAGTATAACAGGCCAATAAAGAGGGGGAAAAGCTGCTGAGTAAAGGAAAAGACATATCAGGTATGCTGATAGAAATTAAAAGTATGCTCTTCAGGTGTATTATTAAGTACACATATTTAATTTCTTGTTAAAACAAGCAGCCCCTTAGCCAATCACTTGGCAACAACTCAGTGTATTTAGGCAGGGCTGGGTAATTCCAGTTTTCAAGGGATGTTATCCTGCTACTTTTAGATGCGTCTATGGGCCAGTACACCTGAATCAAGAAATTAGATGAATAATACGACTGAGGAAGGTGACTGCATACTGAGGAGGTAATTCAACCATTTGATTCAGACATGTTGGATCATGGACAAATCTAATATTTATCATCATGTGAGGAAGAAAAAGGGGAATAAAGGGATTCTGATCAAGGCCTTGATGCAAGTGTAGACAGTCTGGTCTGAGGCTTTCACAAACTGGTAAACTACTAGAATGTTTGTGTGAACAAATTGATTCTTAACATCAGTGCGGTCAGTTAAGAACAAGAGAAACTTTAAAACACAATCCAATTTTGCTGGGTTCAACAAATGTCAAGTTCAGCAAAGCGGATTATATTCTAAGACATGTACATATGAAATATAAAACAAACACTTCTCAACAAATTGCTAACTATAATTAGGTGATTTGATTTTTATACGCGATACTAGCAACAGTTCAATATGGAGAAGATTATAAATAAAAAATATAAATATTATAATTTTTTTTATAATACAATAATACGGGACATTTACAGGAGACTGCCAATAATGAGGGGTAAAATACAGTACCATCTTCTGATTGGGGGATGCCATCTTCTGATGGGGGGTGCATCTTCTGATTGGGGGATACCATCTTCTGATTGGGGGATACCATCTTCTGATTGGGGGATACCATCTTCTGATTGGCGGTTGCCATCTTCTGACTGGGGATACCATCTTCTGACTGGGGATACCATCTTCTGATTGGGGGATACCATCTTCTGATTGGGGGATACCATCTACTGACTAGGGATACCATCTTCTGATTGGGGGATACCATCTTCTGATTGGGGGATACCATCTTCTGATTGGCGGTTGCCATCTTCTGACTGGGGATACCATCTTCTGATTGGGGGATACCATCTTCTGATTGGGGGATACCATCTACTGACTAGGGATACCATCTTCTGATTGGGGGATACCATCTTCTGATTGGGGGATACCATCTTCTGATTGGCGGTTGCCATCTTCTGACTGGGGATACCATCTTCTGACTGGGGATACCATCTTCTGATTGGGGGATACCATCTTCTGATTGGGGGATACCATCTTCTGATTGGGGGATACCATCTTCTGATTGGGGGATACCATCTTCTGATTGGGGGATACCATCTTCTGATTGGGGGATACCATCTTCTGATTGGCGGTTGCCATCTTCTGATTGGCGGTTGCCATCTTCTGACTGGGGATACCATCTTCTGACTGGGGATACCATCTTCTGATTGGGGGATACCATCTTCTGATTGGGGGATACCATCTACTGACTAGGGATACCATCTTCTGATTGGGGGATACCATCTTCTGATTGGGGGATACCATCTTCTGATTGGCGGTTGCCATCTTCTGACTGGGGATACCATCTTCTGACTGGGGATACCATCTTCTGATTGGGGGATACCATCTTCTGATTGGGGGATACCATCTACTGACTAGGGATACCATCTTCTGATTGGGGGATACCATCTTCTGATTGGGGGATACCATCTTCTGATTGGCGGTTGCCATCTTCTGACTGGGGATACCATCTTCTGACTGGGGATACCATCTTCTGATTGGGGGATACCATCTTCTGATTGGGGGATACCATCTACTGACTAGGGATACCATCTTCTGATTGGGGGATACCTTCTTCTGACTGGGGGATACCATCTACTGACTCTGAGATACCGTCTTCTGAATTGGTTACCATCTTCTAATTGCCACTTATAGGAGGATAACTGACTGTGTCACACAACTCTCATAACCTCAAACTGGGTTATTCAACAAACAGTTCAGTCTACAACTCTGGCCTCTAGTCCCTAAATCTCAGTTCAGTACAGCACCTATTGGCTGTGATGAAACCAGAGGTTATAAAGGATATGAAGCTGAAAAATCTGCAGAACTCTTAGCCCCCTCCAGTCAGCTCTGGGGCTAATCCAGGCTTTCTTTCTAGTGAGAGGAACTACCTAAATCTACAGAATGAAGTTTTCAAGGAGACATCTGAAATGGACACTGAATTACCCCTATTAGGCTGTTCTTTCAGGCATGATCCATCCTATTACCATAAGTAAGGGTCGGAAGGTTGATCCAATAAGATTATCAGATAAAAACATGATCATCATTATACATTGTCTCAGATAACAAGCTGTACCAGCTGCTTCTCTTTGAACTGGATGCTTTACAGGATTAAGAACAGGGACCTTCTAAGACATCCCAGCAACAACAACCATGGTAACGTACGTCTAAGGCTTTAGCCATCTAGAGATTTCATAAAGACGTTGCTAGCACCTGCTTCTGTGCCATTTACTGACAGTAAAAACAGCTGAGCTTGGATTTCCTGGAATTCTTCCCCTGTCGGGTGGACCTATTCCCAGTTTACGACACCTTCCAATCATTGCTTGTAAAGAGGGTAACCCAGAGGGTAACCAGGTGCATCTGAATAATGTTTACGGGGATTTGAAATGTCTTTTTTCTGCCAGATATTAAGATTTGGGAGTTAGTTTTTTTTTTTTTTTTTTTTATTCAGGTCAACATCCAAATGTGTTTTGTGATTTAGGATTAAGGATCATAAACTGCTGAGTCACTTTGGCCTGATCATGGCCAGACATGTCCCAACATGTTTAGCCTTTGCTTTTAATTTTCACAGTTTTTCCACCCCCATCCCATCCCACCCCCTACTTTCCCAATCACAGCCCAAAGTCCGGCTCCGTTGTTAAAATACAACAGCACTAACTCCTGCACTGAAAAAAGATAAATAATTCTAAAGTTTAGAGCACCTCTGAGGCAAAATATGTTGCCTCCTTGGTTAAAATGTCTCTGAAAACCTGAAAACATTTAGGATTGTCTGGATCTCCAAATTATTTAAACTTAAATGGCTCAACTTTCCATTTTTGTCTATTTCTGGTTAACAGGACAACCAAAAAGAAAGAAAATTTTGATAACTTTTTTTCACCTTCAAATAAGCTAAGAAATTTTTAGTTCCTGTTTTGATCAGATTCAAATATTTTTCCAAAAAACCTGAAAAATCACGTGTAATCAATTGAACAATTTTGAATGTGCTTCAGGTGTCAGGTCTTTACAAAGAGTTAGATTAGAGTTAAAACATTTTCTACTGTTAATTTTTGACTTTTAGTTTTGTTCAGGATCATTATTACCTCTCTGGCAGCCAATGGGGTTGCATGCTTAACAAAGAAGCAACAGCACCCATAGAAAGTACCAGAGAGGTCATACAAACTCCACAGAGATCTAAGCACCAGACTTTGTGCAACACAGTTTACAAAGGAGCCAAAAAAAGAGCCTCTATGTTTGAGGCCAATCTCTGCATCTGTCAGGCTCTGCCTCAAACTGGGGTCCTGTTCATGACTGATGGTGGAGGAGATGGATAGAGGGATTAGTCCTTAAAAGCTGCAATGAAAATTACTTTAGAGATTAGGGGTACAGCACTGCCATCTAGTGGCGGCTCAGGGTGAAGCATACGGTACATTCTCTGTATTTAAAGGGGGCATCTAATCAGGAGGCATTATTTCTGTTCTCCAGGGATTTTCCAGCCTTGTCTGACTGGAAGAAGAATTTTTCATCTAGGTTTTTTTTACTGTGACAAGCTAATCTTGGATATGCGGATGCAGCTAATTATACGTTTGCATCTTAAAACACTAAACCCAATTGTAGTCAGACATATTTTACAAGGAAGCTGAAAGCAGAAAAGTTGCAGAACACTGAAATCTACTGGTTGATGTGTAACATAGCAGTTGTCCTGTTGCAAATAATCTGCATTTGGTGATCTTCCAAAACTGGGTATTTGGATCAGATTGATCCAAACCAACATCGCTTAGAAAAAACCATCTTGTGATTGACATTGATTATGTGATCCTGGATCCCAAAGGGAAAGTACTGGCAAATCAACTCAATTCAATCCTGGTGAAACTTATTGAAAAAAATGGGTCAGGTCCTAGTCCGCTTATAGAGGGAGTAAACAAATCTTTTCCAGAACCACATCCACATCCTGTATAACAATTAGGATGCTTGTTTTAATCTGGTGTGAAATTTTTATATTGTACACCAGTTAAAAGATCATATAAAGTTCATACATTAAAAGATTGATCAGTTGGGATAAATAAGCATCTTAAGCATCAGTTTATAAGATAATGAGAGCCTGAACTTTGTGAAAAATGGTATGGTCAGTTTCTCTGTCATTCATATTTCCTGTTTCTTTTCTTTTTGAAGTGTCCTCTGTCAATTACATTTCCCTTTCAGATAAAAAAATCTAACTTGGGTTTGCCATAATAGCATATCCACATAAAGAACCACTGACCACTGAAATAGACTGAGCAGGTGAGGCAGAAGAAGAAAGCTGCCAGCTCTAACATACCTTTCCTGGTCTGGTCGGCCCACCCTATCTCTGTCTCTCCTGAGGGAAAGATCTCCGATCCAAATCCAGACCACCAAGAGCGAAAGAATGGACCACATGGCAGCAGAGATCGTTGCCTTTCTTCTCGCAACCTCTGGGTGGATCTTGGTCTCATCTACGTTGCCGACCGACTACTGGAAGGTGTCATCCGTAGATGGGACGGTGATCACTACGGCAACCTTCTGGTCAAATCTGTGGAAGACGTGTGTGACAGATTCTACAGGAGTGTCCAACTGCAAAGACTTTCCATCAATGCTGGCTCTGGATGGTGAGTTTGTTAGAAATTCAGCGTCTGATATTCTCTTCTGATAAAAACATTTCATAAGCATATGGCCATGGCAGTGTGTGTCAGTGAGGTAGCTGTGCTAAATCGATATGACCCCCAAATGTGTTCGAATTAAGCAAAATGATAAAGACATTCAAGTCAACACAGAGTTTGTCAAATTACAGTGCCCATCAGTTCTCTGCTCCCATGTGAGCACTATAGCATGACCTTTGGCTCCTATAGGGGCAATTTAGCACATGTTTTGGTTCCCAAGGGGGCATTTTAGCTCATTTTGTCTCCAAATATGGCACTTATAACTAGTGTTGCACCAATACCGATCCAGCACTAAAATGGTGGTATTGGTATCAGTGAGTACCAACAAATAGGGCACCGATTCCAGGTAGGCAATGAAAAGTTCTACTGGATTCACTTTGTCTTAGTCTTTTTCCTGCTTCACAAAGGTAGGCAGCAGCTTGACAAAGCCATAATGGCAATTATTTTACATCCAAGTAGTATGCAGTTCTTCATATATACACACACGTCAATTTCAAACAGATGGTATCGGCCAATAATGCACATCCAAGTACCGTGTATCGGGACCAAAAATGGCATCACATGTTTTGGCTCCCACAGTGGCACATTAGGACACATATTGGCTCCCTAGAGAGCATGTTAGCACATGCTTTGGCTCCCACAGGGGCACTTTGGCACATGCTTTGGTCCCCACTGGGGCACCTTAGCACATGTTTTGGCCTTCATGTGGGTACTATAGCATGACTTTTGGCTCCCATAGCGGCACTTAAGCATTGTTTTGACTCCCAAAGGGATACTCTAGTGCATGTTTTGGCTCCCAATGGGAGACTTTAACACGTTTTGGCTCCCACAGGGGCACATTAGCACATGTTTGGCTCCCTTGAGAGCATGTTAGCACATGCTTTGGCTCCCATGGGGCACTTTAGTACAAGTTTTGGATCCCACAGGGGCACATTAGCACATGTTTGGCTCCCTTGAGAGCATGTTAGCACATGCTTTGGCTCCCATGGGGCACTTTAGTACAAGTTTTGGCTCCCACAGGGGCACTTTGGCACATGCTTTGGCTCCCATGGGGCACTTTAGTACAAGTTTTGGCTCCCACAGGGGCACTTTGGCACATGCTTTGGTGCCCATGGGGGCACTGTAGCACATGTTTTGGCCTTCATGGGGGTATTATAGCATGACTTTTGGCTCCCATAGGGGCACTTAAGCATTGTTTTGACTCCCAAAGGGATAATAGCGCAGAGGTCCTGATTTAAAACATTTATAAATTAACGCATGTTGTCCAACGACAGTGTCCAACTTCACTTGCACCGCTTCTCCTGTTAATATTGTAAAGCCGTCCAGAGCGCCGAGACCAGCCAATGAGCTGTGTCAGTTTGGGTCACTGCTTCCAGCTACTTCTAGACACAGAAGGAAAACCTGTGGCGAGCCGAGCGATGGGAAAAAAGGAGAAGATTATGAGAAAAAGAAAGCAGAGAAAAGGTGGACTGCTGAAAAAGCTGCGGTGAACTGGTGAAAGAAAAGTGAAATGGTGTGCTCAAAGGCGACCCTGCACATTTTGAGCATGTTTGCCTCAACCTGCTGCTGTGAAGCAGGATTCTCGGCCATGAACAGAATCAAAAATAAATATCAATACAGGCTCAATGTGAACCTTGATATGGGCTTGAGAATGGCTTTGTCACCATTCAAACCCAATTTTAAAAGCATTGCAGGGCAGCCTAAAGCCCACTGCTCTCATTAAGCAATAAAAAAGAAAAAAACAACACAAACGTTAAGTTCAGCTGTTTTATAAAATATGGGAATAAGGAAATTGTCTGTATACCAAACTGAACGATTCTTCTCTACTTCAAAAAACACTAGATTTTTTTTAATTATTAAAAATTCAATGTATAACATAGATGCATTTATTTCCGTGTTAAATTCTGTTTAAATTAACAGATTATAATAAAAAATTCAATTTCAATTCAGTTTATTTATATAGCGCCAAATTCACAACACATGTCATCTCAAGGCACTTTACAGTTCAACCAGATCATACAGTCAAATTGATACAAAGTTTTCTATCTAAGGAAAACCAGTTGATTGCATTGACTCATTGACTCAAATACAATCCAAAATGTCTCCGGACCTTTACTGATTTTCTGTGTTCGGACCCCACTGATTTTTAATTGGTTACCCCTGCTCTAGCGCATGTTTTGGCTCACATTAGGGCACTTTAGCACACATTTAATTACCTGCTCTTCTCACAGTTGGAGACATTTATAACACCCCATTTTGAAACTGCACCATGACAGCCCACTTTTGCAGAAATCTAGAAATGTGCCTTTTTGTCTTCCTGTCAAAGCTTATATTCAGGTTTGTCGGGGTTTGGTGATCGCTGCTGTATGCCTGGGTTTCTTTGGTGCCGCCTTGGCTTTACTAGGAATGAAGTGTACAAAAATAGGAGGCTCGGAGGCGACCAAGGCTCGTCTGGCTGTCCTGTCGGGCTTAAGCTTCATTTTGAGCGGTAATTTTTCGACACATTTTTTAATTCAATCAGCATAGCCAACTGTGTTCTGGTAATTATTTAATGTCTGCACAGGAATCTCCTGCATGACTGCATGTTCCATATATGCTCATAGGATCACAACTGACTTCTTTGACCCCTTCTTTGTTGCACAGAAGTATGTATTAAGGAAAAAAAAAAAAAAAAAAGATTTCTGACTTTCAGCCAAAATTTGATTTACGGTAGATTGAAATCAGCTTTTCTTGTTTTGTTTTTTTGTTTCTCTCTGGGTAGGTTTGAATTGGGAGCAGCTCTCTTTATTGGCTGGGCTGGATCCGTGCTTTGTATTCTAGGTGGAGCTATATTTTGCCTCCCACTGTCCGAATGCTTTAAACTAAGGTCAGTATCAGTAACTTTTTACCATGATAACCACTTATGCTGATGATTCTTTTATGGTTAAGTTTCTTTTTTATTGTTTTACAGAGTTAAGTACTGTTACACTGGAGCCCCGTGCAAGACAGCCAACAGCCTGCAAACGGAACCACAGGAGTTGAAGAGACAGTTTGGAAGAAACGCTTATGTTTAAAACAAACTGGACTTTTATCTTGTTTTTTTATTTTATTTTGAATCAGAAAACATCTTAATTAATATAGCCATAATAGCCATCATTAATTTGGAAAGCTGACCTCAGTTTCTGTAACCCATTATACCTACAAATAGCTTAAGCAAAACCTGTAAGTAAAAACTAAGCTAAAAGATCTCAAAAACAACAAATGATGTCCTTATATGTAAAAATTTAACAACAGATGAGTAATAAAATGACAGAGCTTCATCAATTAGATGAGATCTAGTAGGGCTTTGGGACACCAGTAAAGGGAATGCAAGAGATTAAACAATTTATGGGCCGTGTTTTAGTTAATCGATTATAAGAATGTCTCGTTATCCATTTCGGATATTAGATAAAGGGCAATAATCTAAAAGAAACCGTTAAATCTACTTTTAAATAAAAGCTTTGGAATGTCCTGCTGAAGTCCAGATTAATATGCAAATGTAATTCCATTAAAATAAATCTGATTAAAATGATCAAACTGGAAGTATTTTAATGATTCTGTAAGGAAGAAAGAGTCAAATATTATGTAATCTAATGTAAAAGACTCATTAGCATCTATATCTAAAACAGAATGTGGCACAATACTTATTAAGCTTTTAACAGGACAATAATTTAGAAGGTTGTTACAATTTGGTGTAAAGTAGACATATCTGGCACATACTTTATTTGATCCCTTGCATCCCCCCCCCCCCCCCCCCCCCCCATCTCTCAGTGAGGTCTAGAAGAACAAGATCTAGATCCGGCCATGATGCAAAGATATAGCAACATGGTTGTACAGCTTATTTTGGCATCTGACCAATTAGATGAGCCCTTGGATGATCTATTACCCACTGTAAATTAACTTAAAAAAAAAGTTGACAAGTCAATTAAATAGTAAAAAGTTAATTGAAAAGTAATGTTAAACAGTCAATAGCCTCGTTAACAACTATATTTATGTTTATAAACTACACAATACAAGTGTCAGTATCAGCATCAATGCCTCTAAGGTTATGTTGGACCAAAAAAAATGGAGAGTTTTTCATGAATTTCTTATAAAAGCACTTAGTGTTTCTTGTTATTACGTTGACATCAAAATATCAATATCTTTTTTAATGTTACAAATGTAACAATGTCTTTTCTTGGATTCCAATAACACTATTTCTAATTTAGATTATTAAAGTAGATAATCAAAAGTATTGCCCTATAAAGGGTTAAGATTAATATTTTTTACCAATTACTTCACCATATAAGAATGATAATTGAAAATATTTCAGTAATTATAAACTTCTGGTACTACCTTTTACAAGTATGAATCATAAAACAATTACATAATTTATTATTTGTAAGCCGCTGGTCTAAAACAAATTTTCACTCCATTGTAGTTGATCACAGTTAACATATTTCAAAAATTACAAAATCAAAATGGACTTAATAGCAGGAGCAGAACATTCATTGCCTATGGGACCTCATTATGATGGCTTTAGTTCTAATTAAATCAGCACAAAGGCTCTTTGGTGTATTTCTGTAGCACCATGGCGCAGTGAGGTCCTGGTGAAATTACCAATAACAGCTTATAGCCCAAGGCACGTTGAGAGCGATGCTTTAAGCAGCTGGACTCATATCAGTAGAGTTATTACACACTTCAAAGTAACTATTCATAACCACAGAATATATCGTTTACAGTCATATCTCACAGGATAATTACCAAGAAACCCTTTTTACCTTTACTGAAGGCTGAAATGGAATAATGCCTTTGGTGAACACGCACTAAGAGCAATAAAAACAAACAATTCAAACATTAGCATGTTCCTTTGGGCTTATTTAAATAAATGTATCAATTTATTTATTTATCCTATTACACAATCATTTTCATTATCATATCTGCACTGGAAAAACAATCTAGAAATAAGATCAAATTTCCTAAATTAAGCGTATTTACCCTTAATTTGAGTAGCTAAATAAGATAGTTTGCCAATGGAATGAGTATTTACAGGTGCTGGTCATAAAATTAGAATATCATGAAAAAGTAGATTGATTTCAGTAATTCCATTTAAAAAGTGAAACTTGTATATTATATTCATACATTACATACAAACTCATATATTTCAGATGTTTATTTTGTTTAATTTTGATGATTACAAATGACAACAAATGAAAATCTCAAATTCATCATATCAGAAAATTAGAATATTGTGAAAAGGTTCAAAATTGATGGCCCCTGGTGCCACACTCTAATCAGCTAATTAACTCAAACCACCTGCAAAAGCCTTTAAATGGTCTTTCAGTCTAGTTCTATAGGCTACACAATCATGGGGAAGACTGCTGACTTGACAGTTGTCCAAAAGACGACCATCGACACCTTGCACAAGGAGGGCAAGACACAAAAGGTCATCGCTAAAGAGGCTGGCTGTTCACAGAGCTCAGTGTCCAAGCACATTAATAGAGAGGCGAAGGGAAGGAAAAGATGTGGTCGAAAAAAGTGTACAAGCAAGAGAGATAACCGCACCCTGGAGAGGATTGTGAAACAAAACCCCTTCAAAAATGTGGGGGAGATTCACAAAGAGTGGACTGCAGCTGGAGTGAGTGCTTCAAGAACCACCACACACAGACGTATGAAAGACATGGGTTTCTGCTGTCGCATTCCTTGTGTCAAGCCACTCTTGAACCACAGACAGCGTCAGAAGCGTCTTGCCTGGGCTAAAGAGAAACAGGACTGGACTGCTGGTGAGTGGTCCAAAGTCATGTTCTCTGATGAAAGTAAATTTTGCATTTCCTTTGGAAATCAAGGTCCCAGAGTCTGGAGGAAAAGAAGAGAGGCACTTCATCCACGTTGCTTGAAGTCCAGTGTAAAGTTTCCACAGTCAGTGATGGTTTGGGGTGCCATGTCATCTGCTGGTGTTGGTCCATTGTGTTTTCTGAGGTCCAGGGTCAACGCAGCCACATACCAGGAAGTTTTAGAGCACTTCATGCTTCCTGCAGCTGACCAACTTTTTGGAGATGCAGATTTCATTTTCCAACAGGACTTGGCACCTGCACACAGTGCCAAAGCTACCAGTACCTGGTTGAAGGACCATGGTATCCCTGTTCTTAATTGGCCAGCAAACTCTCCTGACCTTAACCCCATAGAAAATCTATGGGGTATTGTGAAGAAGAAGATGCAATACACCAGACCCAACAATTCAGAAGAGCTAAAAGCCACTATTAGAGCAACCTGGGCTATCATAACACCTGAGCAGTGCCACAGACTGATCGACTCCATGCCACGCCGCATTGCTGCAGTAATACAGGCCAAAGGAGGCCCAACTAAATACTGAGTGCTGTACATGCTCATACTTTTCATGTTCATACTTTTCAGTTGGCCAACATTTCTATAAATCCTTTGTTTTTATTGGTCTTCAGTAATATTCTAATTTTCTGATATGATGAATTTGAGATTTTCATTTGTTGTCATTTGTAATCATCAAAATTAAACAAAATAAACATCTGAAATATATGAGTTTGTATGTAATGTATGAATATAATATACAAGTTTCACTTTTTAAATGGAATTACTGAAATCAATCTACTTTTTCATGATATTCTAATTTTATGACCAGCACCTGTATACTTTTAAAATAAGATAATTAGATAATATGCACTTGAAATAAGACAATGCAATTGTGTTTTATTATTTTAAGTGGAAGTTGTCTTGTTCCATTGGAAAAATGTCTCTTTCACCTCCTCAATCCAAGACAAAATGCACTTATTTCAAGAAAAAAATGATTCATCTAGATTTCGATTTTTTCCAGTGTGAAAACACTAAAATGTGCCATTTATAATTGTATTTAAACCCAAACCATTTTGGTGAAATGTGATTAGTATGACCTTACTGTGATGTATTACATATGACAAGTTATCCTTATAAAATAAACATTGATTATTATTAGCGATGTACATTTTATTTCAAAGAAAGAAAGTTACAGGTAAGTTACCAACAGGAAATACCAACCTTATACTGATATCAATCAGGCGTTAAATTACTTAAAATTTACGGGAGTTTTTTCGCTTTAACTCAGTATAATTATGAAGTGTTTTTTTTTTTTTTTATTCCCATTAACACCAGTGTTTAATTTTAATGATGCTAAACTTTGTTCTTTCAAAATAAAAGCCTCGTCCTCGGGCTTTTAAAACACATTAAATGAGAAAACTGAATCCACATTAATCAGCATTTTGAAAATCATGTACAGGGCTCTTCAGCATCTCATCCTCATATGTTGGAAAGACTAAAACAAAACCAGACAGAAAAAAAAATAAATTGTAAGGTTATTTTTGTTCTGCAAGTTATTGATAAATGCATTTGTATGCCCATATCAGAAAATATTAAATGATTTGGGTTTTTATCTGGGCAAATGGATGTGTTCAAAAATTGGTACTTAGTTTTTCTTTCAGGCGGAAATCTAAAGTGGAATAGCTTTGTTAAAAAAAAAAAAAAAACTCCCCTGTTGCCTGAAGTAACTTCATAGGAAAGACAAGTTGGCGTCACTTAGAGCTTTTATAAAAATGTAATATCCCTCTGCTTTGTTTCATATGTATCATATAATGGATTTACTTCATGATTTTAATACTATATTAGCAATATTATTGTTAAGTATAGTGATTATGGTTTTAACCCACACTTTCTTCATTATGCTTTCATCAAAATACCTACTAACACTGTTCCTATTCCTAAGCTTTCTAAACTTGTTCAACTAATAATAATAATAATAATAATAATAATAACTAGACACCTTATGAATGCTATAAATATAATTTAATATATAATTAATGCTATAAATATTTTATGGAAAGCAGTGTTTTATTCCTTTTAAAAGAAAAGGATTTAGCTCATGCTCAAGATTATCTAAATAAATAACTAAGTTGACCTTAGATCACTACATATAATTACCCATAAAGTAAAAACATTTTGTTTAGTAAGTAGAAAACAATCATTTTTCAAAATGTATATAAATATGAGTCCAAATCATTGTTGACAACTGTGTCAATGATG